GCCAGGCCTCGAGTGGAACGATAACATAAAACAGTGCGATTTTCCAATTAGCTCCACCTGTCCTAAACCATCAGCGGGGCCAACCCGCCCAACTCGGGCGCCAACCCCCAAACCAACCGCCATACCATTTGTCTGTCCCGTGGATGACATCGCCCGCACCCATTGTGCGAAACCAACGGACTGTCTCTACCCATTCGTTGGCGATTGCAGTAAATTCATTCAATGCACGGTAGATCCCGATGGTAGTGGTTGGCCCACTCTCTTGCCCTGTCCGGCGGGTTTCGAGTGGAATGATAATAAAAAGATATGCGACTGGCCAATTAGCTCCACATGCCCTAAACCAACCAAACAGCCCACTTAAGCACCGACTGATGGCCTCACCATTGTATACAATGGTTGAAATTATGTAGTATTTCATTATTGTAGAGTTAGTTTAGTTTATAAAATGAATTTTTAATTTGTACGTTGTTTTTATAAAAATATACTGTATTAATTAAAAATGTAGTAAAAATTATATTGTATCTAAGTTTGTGATTTTATAATTTAATGATTAACTTAAAGTAAATTTAAATATAAATTTCAACAAAAATAATAAAATTTTAAAATTATTTCCTTTTATGAAACACTTCGTGATAACACAGAAATCAGAATATATTCTAATAGATTGGAAAGCACTGAATAGTGCCCTTTGCCCTTCATTTAAAAAATTAACTATATCCAAAAATCAAAGTAATATATTTGTGTAACTATGGATTTGTAATAAACAGTTTAAATTAAGATTAAAAATATAAAATATATTACCAATACTTCAAATTACATTCCAATAAATAATAGATTTATGTATTTTACTATTATATAAAATTTGCAATTTGCTAATAGACAAATACGTTGTTTACCGATTTAAATAATTTTCCATTTATTCATTAATATAGTTTACATACATTTTGATAAAATTACAGTTTGTATTAAATAATATGATAATTTTATTAGCATTTTATTATTTCAAATTAACAAATTAATTATCGCGAAAACTCAAAGTAATATCTATTGTGTAACTCTGTATTTAAAGCAAATTGTTTTAATTAAAAATAAAAATATAAAATATACGACTTCAAATGGCGCTCCAATAAAACATAGGTTTATACTATGATATAAATTTTACTCTAAATTTTACTATAATATAAAATAATCATTATTAAAATTTTACAGTATCTAAACTTATTTTATTTAAAGAGTTTCTATTACATGTATTTTTTTAACTTAATTTTATATTTATTAATAATCAATACTTAATCTTCACATTTACGGTGACTTCATCATGATATTTCAATTAACTTAATAAACATGATAACCATAAAAGATATAATCTATTTATAAACAAATATATCAATTATAGATTGAAAGTGAAATTTAATTTTAAATAGGTTTCAGTTTTATAACATACTTCATAACATCGGAATTGTGTAATAATAAATAGTTGCCAACAGTAGAACCTGACTGTATTATGCGATAGTATAGCCACAAAATTTAATATCTATTATTTTAATAATAATTATTATTAATTAACGCTAGAAATCAAATGAATATTACTATAATTAAAGTACTAACTTTTAATCTAGTTGCAATTGTTAGATTTGCAACCCTAACATAACAGGCATAACCTGCGGTCAGATTGTGAAACAATTTACATGATTTATTTGACTCGTAATTGACAGTCGCGGAGTTGTACAAAATAAATGCAAACTGTTGCACAACCATTAGTACCCCAAAAGTGATCAGGGTATGTGTCATGGGATCGAGCTGACCAAATATTAGCCCATAAAAACCGGTGGTAACCACACCGCCCAAGACAACCCATACGGCCGCCAAATATTTGTTAAAATAAGTGCTGTTATAGTCGTCGATCTCACGGTATATACCGGTTAGTGATTGTATTATACCTGCGATTAACACCCCGTTTAATTTTAAGTTGGAGTTCTCCACACGGTCAATTTGCTCATTCAGTGTACGTAATTTTTGGCCTAAATAATAACATAGTAAATAAAAGTACACCAAAAGCCATAGCGAGAACCGGTAGGCGTGAAACGCGTTAAACCCGGTCAAAATACTATGTGGTACGCCATAGATCATTATTTCGTACGGGGTACATTTCAACACATATGGCATCAAGCAGGTAAATGCAAGAAAGGGCATTTGGCGCTTTGTAACTTTGTGGCAGATGCGAAATAATAACAGGGACCGTTTGGCCAGCCTATAAGCCAGGTATGGGTTGGTTATGCCAATAGATGCTGGGCTTATGTGTCCGGAAAGCATGTGAAACAAGCGCAAAAATGTTGGATTATTACCCTGGTTGTTGTAGTTGTTAACGGTGAAAATTATTTGAAAAATGATGTTGATAGATGTCCAACAGAAGAGTGCTAGGTTAAATTGAAATGCGTTACCCATTATGTATGGAAAATCGCCAAACATTATAAATAGTTCCCGATTTTTGCGGTCAAACGATAGAGTGATTATTGTTTTGAATGCAAACATACATTGAATGCAAAATAATAAATATTGGATGCGATAGGATATGCCGTTTGGGTAATATTGTGACAGTAGAATAATATCGGGGTAATAGTCCTATGGTATAAAGTAAGGTATCAGCACCAGGTGTTAGTAAATGGTCAGGTAATCGGGTTTGTATATTGATCTTGTTCATATTGTTATTGTGCTATATTGTCGTAGTTTTGTTTCTATGTAAACTAATAATAATTTTAATAAATTTTTTATCAAAAAATTATTATTATATAATGACTATTATTGTCAATAAAGGTTATGGTGTAACCTTGATGGTATATTAAGTTTATACATAAATGTAGATTTATTCAACTTTAATTATTTAGTTTTCTAATTATATACCTTCATTTTAATTATATTAATATAACGTGCAAGTATAAATGTACATTTAATATTAACGTAATAAACTAACTATGATTTAAATTATTATTATCTAACTTGTAAAGTGCGTTTAGGTGTTACTTAATTCAGATATATTTACACTTTAAATCATGATCAATAATGTACTGTTAATAGGGTTGCCAACTGGTCAAGGTTTGCCTTGATTTGCAAGGTTAACCGGGAATTTTATTAATAATTTTATTTTAAAATACCAATAACATTAATAATGAGTATATTTTTGCTTTAATGTAAG